AAAAGAGCAGCAGGTCAAGTCCGCCAGTGTGTCTGGAGCTTAGGCATGACATACACTCACGTCAACCCCAGTCCTGGTCAGCAAATGCAGACCCAGGCTAAGGGGGTGGGCAGTGGGAGAGTTCTGACTACTATAACTGGGGATGCTCACCAGGGAGCCTGAATCTGGACTAGGAGATTCCCTGTGGTCCCAATACTCTGTTCACCATGCATACTTGAGTTTTCTCCAGAAAACAATGCTCCATGCTCCGGAAAACAGGGCCTGTGCTCAAATTTAACCAAGCTGAAAGGAAAGCATTGAGTACTCAAATGCCATCTGCCATCAGCTCAATAGGGATTACTGTTTTCCTTTTTTTTTTTTTTAACAGGCAGAGTTAGACAGTGAGAGAGAGACAGAGAGACAGAGAGAAAGGTCTTCCTTCCATTGGTTCACCCCCCAAATGGCAGCTACAGCCGGAGCTGCACCGATCTGAAGCCAGGAGCCAGGTGTTTCCTCCTGGTCTCCCACGTGGGTGCAGGGGCCCAAGCACCTGGGCCATTCTCCACTGCCTTCCCGGGCCACAGCAGAGAGCTGGACTGGAAAGAAGAGCAACCAGGACTAGAACCTGGTGCCCATATGGGACGCTGGCGCGGCAGGCGGAGGATTAACCAAGTGAGTCACAGCACTGGCCCCTACTGTTTTCTTTTTTGTAACTTTCATCTAAATAGAACACATGTAGGGTCAAGGAATTATAATTTTTTTTCTGAACACAATAAAGGCTTCATCTTTTGCTTATGTCACATTGGCAGAAGCTCTGCTCCATGCAGTCATGCAGGGACCCAGGGTCTTTCTCTTTTGGAGTGGGGGTTATGTCTATTCAGAGGGGTGGAAAACTGCAACATGTGGTCATAGGACCAAACATGAAGGCAAATATTGGTTCAGCCATAGTCTGATGAGTCTTGGGATGATAGCTATTAGACTCTGACTTCCCCAAGGACAAAGTGTTCAGGGAATGCCAATGAAGGGGGAAGACAGCCAGGACTGAGGAAGCTCTACTGGGTAGGGTGGACGCCAGCCTGGATATATTTTTGAACCTCCCCAGGTTGTTCTGATGTGCAGCCTCTATGTAGTCCAGGGTTTCTCAATCCCAACTCTACTGATATTTAGAGCAGGGCAATTATTTGCTCTGGGGGCTGTCTTTAGCAGTGTAGGAAGTTGAGAGCATCCCTGACCACCATCCACTTGAGGCCAGCAGCAACCCTCTCCCCTACCTGCGGTCATTAAGCAGTATCCAGACGCGTCCCTAATGGGTAGAATCACCACCCCCCACGCTGCCCTGCCCCCAGTAAGGAAACACTGATCGAGACTACTTCTGATTTTACAGACAAAAAAACAGAACTGAACCCCAGAGAGGTCAACCCACTTGGCTACAGAGCACATCACATGTTAATCATAGGCCCAGGCTCCTCACCCCCAGACAGCTTTTTCCATTTCAGTGTCTGGTCTTGTTTTTCCTTTGCATATGTCAGGTCACATAAAATTCGACTCTCCTAGGAGCCCTGAAACCAGTATGCAGAATCAAAGAATCCTGCAGCTCCGTGGGCTGGGGAGGCATCAGGTTGAGTCCCTTATTTTTCCACAAAGCTTCCCCTCTTGGAAACTGATAGAGACAATTCAAAGCCTTTGCCTGTGGTCCATGTCATGTCGTCCCAGTTCATGACCTTGAATAGGAAGGTCATAAGAGATATTTAACCATGAAAGATCACTCTGGCTGAAATGTGGAGGACGAATTTCCAGCAGCGAAAGGGAGACAAATAGGACATTTTTGCAGAGGTCTGACCAAGAAATCCCAAGGGCTGAAGGAGAGCAGCAACAGTGGGAGTGAGGAGAAGCTTTCTTGAGAGTTAAGGCGACTGCGGGTCCTGTGAGTGGAGCCACCAGTGATGGCGTTGTCAAAGCAGCAGCCAGTAAAGGTTATTCTATCCAAGATGAGAAGATAGAGCGTGTTCTCTTGTCAGCCTGGGGACTGGAAAACACATCGTGCAGGTCAGCCCATCACGGGAAGCCAAAGCATTAAAGTCCAAGGCAGTGGTTCCAGCCATGGCCAGCAGGCTCCACTTCTCCACATTTCTTTTTTTTTTCTTTCTTTTTTTTTTTTTTTTTTTTTTTTTTTTTTTTGACCAGGCAGAAAGGGCAGTGAGAGAGAGAGAGAGACAGAGACAAAGGTCTTCCTTTGCCGTTGGTTCACCCTCCAATGGCCGCCGCGGCCGGCGCGCTGCGGCCGGCACACCGCGCTGATCCGATGGCAGGAGCCAGGAGCCAGGTGCTTTTCCTGGTCTCCCATGCGGGTGCAGGGCCCAAGCACTTGGGCCATCCTCCACTGCACTCCCTGGCCACAGCAGAGAGCTGGCCTGGAAGAGGGGCAAGCGGGACAGAATCTGGCGCCCCAACCGGGACTAGAACCCGGTGTGCCGGCGCCATAGGCGGAGGATTAGCCTAGTGAGCCGCGGCGCCGGCCCACTCTCCACATTTCTGATGTCACTGGTCCAGGGCATGATCCACTGAGGTGTTTCTAATGTGCAGCCAGTTTTGAGAACTACAGGTGTGGACAGAGGGCTCCACATACCTTATTGCACATCCAAAGCCTGGGAATCTTGTCACGATGCAGATTCTGATCCAGTTGGTCTAGGGTGAGGTCTGAGATCCTGAATTTATTTATAACAAGTGCTCAGGTGATGTTGGCAGTGTTGGTCCAAGGACTGCTTTTTGAACAGCAAAATGTTTTTCAACCCTGGCTACACATGAGAATCCCCAGGCTACTCCTGATGTCAATGATAAACGAGTGCCTGGGATTCTTGTGAGAGGATGCTTTTAAAATCCTGGAGGCCGGCACCGCGGCTCATGGCTCTAGTCCCGGTTGGGGCACCAGATTCTGTCCCGGTCGCTCCTCTTCCAGTCCAGCTCTCTGCTGGGGCCAGGGAGTGCAGTGGAGGATGGCCCAAGTGCTTGGGCCCTGCACTCGCATGAGAGACCAGGAGAAGCACCTGGCTCCTGGTTTCGGATTGGCGCAGTGCACTGGCCATAGCGGCCACTTGGTGGGTGAACCAACGGCAAAGGAAGACCTTTCTCTCTGTCTCTCTTTCTCACTGTCTAACTCTGCCTGTTAAAAAAAAATCCTGGCATTGTGATGTAGCAGGTAAGCTGTTGCTTACCTGTTATGATGCCAGCATCTCATATCAGACAACCACTGTGAGTCCCAGCTACTCTGCTTCTGATCCAGCTCCCTGCTAATGCACCCAGGAAGGCAGCAGATGATAGTCCAAGTGCCTATGTTCCTGCCACCCACATGGGAGACTCAGATGGAGTTCCTGGCTCCTGGCTTTGGCCTAACCCCACCCTGACTGTTGCAGTCAGTTAAGGAGTGAACCAGTGAATGGAAGTTCTCTCTTTTTCTCTCTGTCTCTCCCTCTCTCTCTCTCTCCACTCTGCCCTCCAGATAAATAAATCTTAAAAAAAAAAGACAGCCTTCACTAAAACCATTTAACCCCCCACAAAAAAAAAAAAAAAACCTGAGCCAAATAAACTTCACTCGCTTATAAACTTAGTCTGCTTTGGGTGTTGCACTATAGCAACAAGAAGCTGACTAATACAGTTTGCAAGAGGCTGCAACAGTCAGTACTCCAGGCACAGGGACCAGAGGCAGGACATGGTGTCTGCTGTCGCCTGGCCAGACCTGTTGGGCTGACCCAGCTCCCCCTTACTGTGACTTTAGGAAAGTAACCTGTCATTTTCTCAATGTCCTCGCCAATAAAATGAGCATCATGATGGCATCCACATCAGAGGTTGGCCGGGAGGATGAAGCCAGTTCATACTCACCAGGCACTTAGAACTGGTGTGTAAGAAACACTCAGTAAAATGCTACCAGGCAAAGGGAGAGGTGCCCACGCAGGAGGTGGGTGCTGGGATCCCAGCAGGGCAGTGTGGCTGGAGAAGAGAGGAGAGTAGAGGAGAGGGAGGTGAGGCAGGTGAGGCAGGGCACATGAGGCCACGCTAGGGATGTGTGAGGTGAGACTTCATCTGGAACATTCTCTCTCAGCTGTGTCCAGTGGCTGCAGGGCACAGGGCAACAGCGCAGGGTGGACATGAGCCCTACCCTGCAACCAAAGGCCTCCCTCCCCTCCTGCTCTTCTCACCATTTCTATGCATAGTTTTCTTTCTAGGCCATACCCAGGTCTGGACAGAGAGTTGTCTTCCATTATTGACAAATATTGACATTCTTCTATGAGAACAGGGCTCAGGCGCGCTCTCTCTCTCTCTCTCTCAAAAAATTGGACCATCCAATAATCCCTTGAAGAAGAGGGTGAGCAAAGTGCAGAATGTAGTGCCAGCACCCAGCGGGCACCTGGTGACAACGGCTGTGTCTAGGCAGGCAGGAGGGGCCCTCAGCCTCCCTTGGGGATCTCACCAGTCTTCCTGTGGTTTGCTACCTCCCTGCCAAACTTCCCTGACAGATTTCCTTCTCACACACTACCAGCCAAAGGGGTTTTGTGACACCCAGTGGGCCAGTCCTTCCCATTCTAACTATTCTGGGCCACACTGGGTCTCAGAGTAGCCTCTGTCTCCTGATTCTGACCTTGACCGCCCTCCCAGCTTTGCAGTAACCTCGATTGTGTTTTCCTCCTTAAAAGTTCACGTGTTCTCTTCCTCCCTCCCACTAATGGTGCTAAGACAGCAGCGGGTAGCCCAGTGGCTGGGCTCCTCCATAACTGAAGGTATCGGTTTCTCCCGCCCTTGAGCACATGGTGCCCTGCACTACAGGGCTTGGAACAGGTCTCTGCATGGCTTAAAGACCCAGAAAGGAGGGGCTGAAAGGGCAACCCTGGACTGAGGTCCTGAACCAGAACAAGAGGCTTCTAACTTGCCCCTTCTCGTTCAGTGGAACCTGGGGGATGACAGGTAATGGGGAGCATTCCTTATGTCTGCTGAGCTCACGGGCAAAAAAAGGTGGGCGGTGTCCTTACCGTTACACACAGCAGTATGGGTCCTCGGATGATCCACCAGATATTCATATTCCTGTTCTCTGCCCAGCACCTAAGGGCGCAGAGCAGACAGGAGAAAAACACTGAAAAATGACACGAAGTGGACAATCAAGTCCTTGTGCCCTCTGGAGGGAGGACGCTTGTCTGAGGTCTTACTTTCCACCAGCCATTGCCCTCGGAGTAAGGGAAGGGACAAGAGGACTAATTCCCTCCCTGTGAATGCCAGGAAATTATTCTTCAATGCTAGCAGCCCGAGGAGTATAGCCTTCTACCTGTTTTCTATGTTCATATGAACATAAACCCTGAACTGTATAGATTGAAATAAAAATAATTTGAGAGGCAGAGAAAGAGAGACACAACACACAGGCTCCCATCTCCTGGTTCACGCCCCAAATGCCCACAACACCAGAGACTGGGCCAAGCTGAAGTCAAGCGCTGGGAACTCAGTCCAGGCCTCCTCCATGTGTGGCAGGGACACAACTACTTGGTCATCATTTACTGCCTTTTAGGGTCTGCATTGACAAGAAGCTGGAATCCAGAGCTGGAGCCAGGAATCAAGACATATATATATATATATATATACACATATATATAATATGTATGTATGTCTGTGCGTGTGTATAAATTACTCCTTGGGAAAATATATATATATATACATGGTGGTGATTTCTTGGAAAGAAAAGCAGAATTATATAATATATGATATAGGCATTATCTCTATTCCATTTTCCATGAACTTTTTGAATTCCCCACATACATTATTTGGCAACATGTTGTTGGGATTCAGTCCCTAAAAGTCCAAAGATAAGAGCTAACCAGGTGTTTTTCAGTAGTCTCATTATAGTCTGCAGTATACAGAAGCCACAGTTTGTTTCGTGGTTCCATATTGATCAGCAACCAAGTTGTTTTGTTTTGTTGGTTTTATCATTTGTTTTTTTTTTCTTTTAAAGATTTTATTTATTTATTTGAGAAGTAGAGTTATAGACAGAGAAAGGGAGAGACAGAAAGAAAGGTCTTCCTACTGCTGGTTCACTCCTCAAATGGCCACAACGGCCAGAGTTGGGCCGATACAAAGCCAGGAACCAGGAGCTTCTTCCAGGTCTCCCACACAGATGTAGGAGCCCAAGCACTTGGGCCATCTTCTACTGTTTTCCCAGGCCATCAGCAGAGAGCTGGGTAGGAAGAGGAGCAGCCAGGACATGAAATGGTGCCCATATAGGATGCCGGCACTGCAGGCGGGGGCTTAGCCTACTACGCCATGGCACCGGCCCCACCTTTTTCTTACCATAAGTGATGCTATAATAAATATTTCTGTATTTATGCCTTTACATATCTAAGGCTGCTGCAAACCTATTACTGCATCTTTGTGAAATGTGCATGTGTAACTAAATAAACATATTACTGTAAGATCTGTGATTATTCTACCTACATTCCTAAGAATATTCTAGGTGGTTAAAATGGGGGGGTGAATGTTCTCTTTGGGAATATACTGTCATTCCTTATACCAGGATATATCGGGGAATTACTGGCTTGTGGAAGAGTAAGGCCAGGTGAATGACCTACCTTGTGTTCTCCAGGTGTGCACGAGCAATGCCCCAGGGGACCACAAACAGCACTGGTAAGGCTGGGGAGAAAACACAAGGAAGTGTCATTAGGCGCACATTGGCCAAATATGCCTGCCTCTCTCTGCAGCCTGATGGGGCCATGCACAGCTGGGTACAACTTGTACCAACCCAGGCATCACAGGATCACCGTGAGAGCTGGAGATGTGAAGGGTGGCACAGGGCCCATCCATCGTTTTACTGTCACAGAAACCAGACCCAGAGAGGGGAAGGGATTGCCACTTGTCACAAAGTAGCTTAGAGTAAACCTCAGGACATTAACCAAGTCTACCAAATCACAGGTTATTTCCTCTAAAGTTCCCTCAAGGGCGTGTGGAGGTAGGGGTTCCAGATCTGAATACTTTGGGTGCTATTTTTATAATTAAAAAAAAAATCCTCAACCTAAAGACTTGGTGTCATGAACTCAATGTGTCCTAAAATTCCTACACTGAAGTGCTGAGCAGAATGTGATTGTAGGTAAAGCAGGGTCTTTGGAGATAACTAGGTGTGGATGGGATCATGGGCACAGGAGATGTTCCTGTGGGGGGGGGGGGGGGTCCTGTCTTTTATCAGAATCGGTATCCTTACAGTCAAGAGGGCTGGCTCTTTCTCTCCACCAGGTGAGCCTGCACCAAGAAGGCAGCATTCTGTAAGCTGGGAAGCGAGCCCTCACCAGAACCGGCAGTGCAGGATGTCCCAGCCTCTGGAATTGTGGGAAATCAATGCCTGCTGTTTAAGCCACACAGATATGTTGTTATGGCATCCAGGACAGACTACCACAGTTGGGGCCAGGGTATCTGGAATGTCATCCGAGTCCATCAGAAACCTTCTCACACACTTCTCCTTACAGCCTCTTGTCATCGGGGGGTTATCTGCCCCACCAGCCACCCTCCAGTTGGGTTTCTGGCTCCAACCAAAGGCTCTCTTGGGCTCCCACATCTTGATGGTTCCTAGGAGGGGAGGCAGGTGTCAGATCACTCACCCCAACCCAACAACAGGTATCTGGGCCACAGCCGCCTTCCGGGAAGCACTGTGGGTTCCAGCAGCCCGTGAAGGTAGAGGCCTTCGACCAGCAGCCATAACTGGTTGGCACCCACAAAGTAGTGCAGGAGAACGTGGACAGAGCGACAGGAGACGGACATCTGCAGAGCACAGAACACCCCAAGGTGAGTCCAGGCCTTCCCAGCTTCGGGATCCCGAGTGGGTAGGGAAGCCCCTCCACCCCCAGCCCCAGCACACCCCCTCCCTTCTTTACTCCCCTCTCTCCTGCACCCTTCTGACCACCTGGCACTAACATCAACATGTAAAGGAGGGTGTTGTGTGGGCTTTCAAGACCAGCTTCTTCTAGAACATTCTGGGTGTGTTTCAGACAAACAGAGCATAGCAGTCACCGCATGGAGACACTGAAGGACAAGTTTTCTAACCAGAAACCAATAACTCAAAAATATCCGTCTGATTAGAAATGAGGAAGCAGACTTTCAAGTAACCTATGGGTCAAAGAAGAAATTAGGACGGAAATTAGAAATTATTTCTGACCCGAGGGTAAGGAAGATACTACAGACCAAATCTTGCAGTATGCAGCTAACACCAAGCCTAGGATCAAATGTTTCGCCTGAAATGCACTTAATTACAAAGAAAAAGCTGAGACCCTCAAGCTTCATGTAAAAAAAAAAGTTATAAAAAGAATAGCCAATTAAACAAAGTACATGGAAGGACATGAAAACAAAAGCAGAGATTAATGAAATAGAGAATGTAGAAGAGGACCATCAATGCAAATAGATTTTTCTTTGGGAAATCCAACAAAATTGAGGAAGTTGTGGTGAGGATGTCCAAGGGTTGACCAAAAAAGTGAAGATGAAAATAATCAGATACAGAAATGAAATGGACAATACAGCTGAAAACATCACTTCAGATCCAAGAGGCCTTCAAAGAATCTAAAGGGAATACCATGGGGGCCAGCGCTGTGGTGCAGCGGGTTAAGCCACCACCTGTGGCGTCCCATGTGTGCACTGGTTGGAGTCCTGGCTGCTCCACTTCTGATTCAGCTCCCTGCTAAGGAGCCTGAGAATGCAACAGAGGATGTCCCAAGTGCTTGGGCCCCTACACCCACATAGGCAATCTAGATGAAGCTCTTGGCTCCTGGCTTTGGGTTGGCCCAGTCCCAGCCCAGCTATTGTGGCCACCTGGGGAGTGAACCAACAGATGGATGATGTGTGTGTGTGTGTGTGTGTGTGTGTCTCCCTCTCTGTGACTCTGCCTTTCAAATAAAGAAGTAAATCTTTTTTTCTTTTTTAAGAAAAGAGACTATCACGAACACTATTATTCCAGTAAATTTGAAAAGTTAGACGAAACAGGCAAATTGCTAGAAATAGAACAACAGGATGCAAGATTTATAATTAATCCATAATTTGAAATCTCCCAATAAAGAAAACTCTAGGAGCAAATGACTTCACTGGTTTGATCTATCAAGTATTTAAGAAAGAATTAAAATTAATCTCAAATACATTTAAGAGGGAACAAATTCCAATTCCCTTTAAGAGATTGGTGCAAACTCAACAGAGGCATCCCAAGAAAATCAGAGGTCCATTCTTATCATGAGTATCGATGAGGAAATGCTAAACAAAACACCGTATTAGCAAACGGAGTCCAGCAACAGATGGTAGAGAACTAACTATAAAAACCAAGTGGGATTTACCCCAGGAATGCACGATTCATTGAACAGGTATGTGTTACTAGCAGGATAAAGGAAAAACCATCTCAATAGATGCAGATTTCAATGGGGACAAGCTTTGCTGTTTTTTTTGCAAAGAACGGTTGACCTGGTTCAACTCCCTCCTTTACAGATGATGTCCCTCGCCCTGGGAAAACAAACCAGCAGCTACAGTGAGTGTTGTCTGTAACTGGAGATGGCTGTTTTAAGTCAGTTGCTGCCTCTTTAACCAGAAGAGGTTAAAGGCTAAAGGTTAAAGGTTATCTCCCTCTCCCCTTGCCCAGCCCCACCCGCCTGGCCTGTGACTCCCAGCGCTGACCCATGCGGTGGAAGGAGCAGTTTCGTTAACGGGGAGGCGATTACCTCCGACATGTAGGACATCCATCCCTCCTCACTGTTGGGATTTGTGGGGCGAGAGTTGTCCCAGACGACGTCCTTCACCAGAACGACCAGGGCTCTCAGGATGAAAGAAGCGAACAGGTTCATGTGGATGTAGTTGCGTGTGCAGTGGAGTTTCCTGGGCAAGGAGAAAACCGAGTTCGGCTCAGGGCAACAGCTCTAGGGCCCGATGAGCCTGCAGGTGTCCCATCAAAGACACAGGTCACACACAGTGCAGGCTCCTGGGCTATGGGATCTGACTTTTCTAACTTCCTAACTTCCTCATCTGTAAGAATGGAAATAATAACTATCATCTATACGGCATATGTCCCATATGCCAGGCCACATTCCAAGCTACCTACACAGACCTGCACTTACGGCTATCCTTACTCCTCACTCCCACTGCAGGACCCGATGCTATCATTACCCTAATTTATAAAGAGAAGATCAAAGCAGAAATATTAAGTCACCTGGCCATAGTTCCCTAGGAGGAGCTGGTGCTGTGGCCCAGCAAGTTGAGCCGCCATTTTCAACATGGGTATCCCATGTTAGCGTGCTGGTTCCAGTCCTGCCTGCTCTGCTTCTGATCCATCTACTCACTCATGCACCTGAGGAGGCAGCAGAAGACAGCCCAGGGAACTTGGGTCCCTGCCACCCACAAGGGAGACCTGGCTCCTGGCTTCAACCTGGCCCAGATCTGGTTGCAGCCATTTGGGAAGTGAACCATTGGATGAAAGATTTTCTCTCTCTCTCTCTCTCTCTCTCTGTCTCTCTCCCCCTGACCCCTTCTCTGTCACTCTGCATTTCAAATAATGGCTGGGGGGATTACATCAGTTAATTCGTGGGACGTGCCCATGGTGAGTGCTCACCCACTAGGAGCCTCCTGCAGGTGTCTGTCACTCGGGCCAGTGTGACACTGTGCATCTTGGTCACTCTATCCAGAGGGACCCTTGTCTACCACTATGCTCTCTGTTTGCAGTCCTAGTTTGCTCTCACGTGAGTATTACATTTTTAATACCCAGGAAGGCCTCGAGGCAGGTCGTTGTGTGCTGTACAATTTACATGTTCTTTTTCCCACCTAGACTGTGGGGATCCCAGGGCAGGGGCTGGGTCTCGCTCCTCCCAGATCCTTAGGCAATGCAGACACCTGGTCCACCCAGGCCCAGCTGAAGCTACTTCCTGCAGAGCTGCGTGGTTCTTTCCTCCTGCCTTGATTCTGGGGCTTTGGACAGAAGCCCCATTTGGTACAGAGGAAGAAGGCCAGGGATCACCAGCAGATTCAGCTGTGGAGTTCTTCCCTAGCTAAGGAGTAGATGAGCCTGACTCTGCCCCAGCAGCTGCAATACATCCTGGGATTTGAGGAGGCCAGTGAGCTCAGGTGGGGACCTGCTCGGAACCAGCATCCCAGTGTCCTGCACCCATGACAAATACTCATTCTGCTGTTATACTCACTTCAGTTCGCAAAGGGGAGACAGCCTGGAGGGGCTCTCCTGTAGGCCCATAAATATCCCACCTGGGTGATTTCTTCTTTTCCTATTTATTTATTTATTTGAAGGGCAGAGGGACAGAGAGATGGAGACATGGAAAAAGAGAGAGAGTTTGAGATCTTCCATCTGCTGGTTCACTCCCCAAAATGGACACAAGAGCAAGGACTGCACCAGGCTGAGGCCAGGAGCTCGGGACTCTGTCCAAGTCTCCTACGTGGGTAGCCGGGAAGCAAGCACTTGGGCCATTTTCTACTGTCCCCCCCAGGCACATCAGCAGGCAGCTGGATCAGAAGCAGAGCAGCCGGGACTTGAACCAGCACTGATATGGGACGCTGGCATCACAAACGATGGCTTAACTCACAATGCTGCCTCCCCCTGGCCAGCCAACTGGCTGATTTTTTAAAAACATGATATAGTAAGATGCACTTGTTCTTGGGTTCTGAAAGATGGCGTAAGGGAGAGAAAATGCTCAGACTCTGGGCTGCTTGGTTCCCATCCTGGCTCTACCCACACCAGCTGTGTGATCTCTGTGACTCTCATAATGCTAAGCTCCTGGTGCTAGAATATTCCTCCTGATTCAAACTACGATGGGATTTACATGACTACATTCATATAAAGTGCTTAAGAAGCACTCGAATATCTCGACCTTTCAAAGACATAAATGAAGCTTTAAAGATGATAATAGCTAACTGGAGTCGGAGGGCCCTGGATGGGAATCCCAGCTCTGCCACTCACTTATTTGCCTCGGGGGAGTTTCTTGATCTCTTCTGCAAAAACAAGAGGTCTGAGTTGTGACAATAATGGGTGTGACTAGGAATGGAGACCAGGGCCAGGCACACGAAAAGCTTCCTAACCCAAAAGAGGAAAAGGTAGAATCAGGAGTTCTAGGTTCAAGTTCTGGCTGTGCAGCGACCTCCCGGTTTTACGGCCAGAGGCCACGCAGTGCATCTCACCAGAACTTTGTCCCCGTTCACCTGCAGAATGGGCTGGATGGACGTGAAACTTTTCTCAGGTCGCTTCCAGCTCTGATAACCCCGGACATCACCCAGCCCGGGCTTTATTGCCTTCAGAGGAGGCCAGTGAACAAATGATACAACACATCCCTGAACACGTGCCTGCAGAAATTCCACTCACCTGAGAAACAAGAAGATGGTGAGAGCCAGGAAGAGGGAGGTAAGAGACAGGGAGTATCCCACGGTGTACATCACCCTCAGGATTGACAGCCAGTCACGATGTCCCTCCTGGACAGAGAGAAAGAGCAGACGTGACCACCAATCCAGGGGGCTGTGTCCCCAGTCCCACACCAAGGATTACCAAGGGTCCAGATGGAGACATGCCCTGGGCCCCCTCCAAACATGTTTTTGAGCCTTGATGTCCCTGTCCTTGTGGACCCCCAAGTAGGGTAGCTCAGCTTGTTCCTGGTACAATGAGTGAGGACCCCACAGTGGGGCTCATCTCCACGACTGGCCCCAGCTCCCAAAAGTGATGCCAGAGTCACAGTATCATAAAGGACCTGTGACCAGGAGATGAGGGTGCTTGGGGAAGGAGGACGGGCTCTTTGTCCCTGTTTCTATGGGTCCTCGTCACTGGGGGAGGGGGCCGGATTTCTGTCTGTGTGTCTCCCTCCACAAGCGGCTCTTCCTGGATGATTTCTTGGAAGAAGACCCAATGGAACACTGGGATATTTTCTCTGAGGCCCAGGATAGCCTGACGGTGAAGAGAACACAGCTCACTGGAAATTGAACGTCAGTGAGCATGAGTCTCCAGTGAAGTTCCCCTTCCCGCTCAGCCTATTATGCGCACTGCTGTCAAGTGTACATTTTTTTTTTTTTTGACAGGCAGAGTGGACAGTGAGAGAGAGAGACAGAGAGAAAGGTCTTCCTTTGCTGTTGGTTCACCCTCCAATGGCCGCTGCAGCCGGCGCACCGCGCTGATCCGATGGCAGGAGCCAGGTACTTCTCCTGGTCTCCCATGGGGTGCAGGGCCCAAGCACTTGGGCCATCCTCCACTGCACTCCCTGGTCACAGCAGAGAGCTGGCCTGGAAGAGGGGCAACCGGGACAGAATCCGGCGCCCTGACCAGGACTAGAACCCAGTGTGCCGGCGCCGCAAGGCGGAGGATTAGCCTAGTGAGCCGTGGCGCCGGCTGCGAACTGTTTTCTTAAACAGTTGAACAAATTTACATTTCCACCAGTAATGTAAGAGAGTTCCAACTGCTGCACATTCCACTAGCATGCTGTATGATCAGTCGCTCACATTTCAGCCATTGCAATGGTTATGCAGTAGTATCCTGTTGTGGGGTTAACTTGTACTTGCCTAGGGATTAATGATGCTAAGACTCTTTTTTTTTTTTTTTTTTTTGCTGATTTTCCATCTGTAGACCTTGCTTGGTAAAAGAATCCATTCAAACATTTGGCCATTTTTAAAACTGGATTGTCTTCTTATCTTTGTGTGTGTGTGTGTGCTTATTTCTGATTCTTTTTAAAGACTTATTCACTGGAAAGGTGGAGTTATACAGAGAGGGAGAGACAGAGAGACAGATCTTCCATCTGCTGGTTTGCTCCCCAAATGTCTGCAACGACTAGGGCTGAGCAAGGTTGAAGCCAAGGAGTTTCTTGCAGGGACCCAAGCACTTGGTCAATTGTCTGCTGTTTTTCTCAGGCCATTAGCAGGGAGCTGGAGAGGAAGTGGAGCAGCCGGAATACAAACTGGTGCCCATATGGGATGCTGGCATTGCAGGTGATGGTTTTACTGGCTATACCACAATGCTAGCCCCTTTTAAGGATATATTTAAAATAAGATTAAAATATTTACCATTGCTAGCACTCTTCATTCTTTCAAGTAGATCAAAATGCCACATGGCGTCTTTTTCCTTCTGGGTCAAGTATATCCTTAATCTCTTGTTGTTGATGGCAAAATGCAAAAATCTCCATGTAGCTTTTGAGCTTTTCCAAGTCAACCCCAACCACACTTCTATCTGAAAACATTTTTAGGGGTCTTATCAAGATCCCTACAATCCTGTTAGGTCTCTAATTGCCCATAATTGGCCCTCTTCTCCTTTAAAAAAAATCTTTCCTAAAACTGACACAAGCCCACCTCTTACAGGAAGTCCCCCTTGCTTCTTCCCAGCTCATTACCGGCTCTCATTGTCAAGGCACTTGCAAGGCTCTTGTCCTTCACAAACTGGAGCATCAGTTATATTATTCATGAATGCGTTGTGTGTGTACATCTGGGCTTTCCGGAGAGACTACGCACACACTGGAAGTAGAGACGTGTCTCGTGTTTCCAGAGTGGTGTGGTTTCTTTACAGCGATGACTCAGGGGGCTTCACTGGCTCATCTCTACATCATTTATTTTACTGGCGATGTGAGATGACCACATTTAATTAAATAACTTAACTATTTGTTTTCTATCATCATTACTTCTAATAATAGGTACGTTTTGTGATTCCTAGGAACCAATCAGGGGAAATGTTTGTTTTCGGGTGGTCTGTGTCTTAGTGTGGGTTTCGAAGAAACAGATTCTAAGGATTGGGTTGCAAGTGGTTTATAGGCAAAGTGAAAAATCAGCAGTAGAGGAAGGGAGAAGTTAGCACACCGAAGGGTGTAGCACTGCGGCAGGGGCTGGAGCTGGTTCCCGCTGGGCAGTTTCTGGAAGCCCCAGTTAATCACCCAAACTGGCGGAGCTGCGTATTTATGCACAAACTGCCGGTCGTGTTGGTTGGGGGCTACGCCTGGGGGTGGGGAAGCATGAAGTACCTGGCACTTCCCTCTTCTTCTTTTTTTTTTTTTTAATTTATTTATTTGACAGGTAAAGTTACAGATAGTGAGAGAGAGACAGACAGAAAGGTCTTCCTTCTGTTGGTTCACTCTCCAGATGGCCGCTACAGCCCGCGCTGCGCTGATTCGAAACCAGGAGCCAGGTGCTTCTTCCTGGTCTCCCATGTGGGTGCAGGGCCCAAGCACTTGGGCCATCCTCCACTGCCTTCCCGGGCCACAGCAGAGAGCTGGACTGGAAGAGGAGCAACCGGGACTAGAACCCGGCGCCCATACAGGATGCTGGCGCAGCAGGCGGAGGATTAACCAAGTGAGCCACAGCGCTGGCCCCGCACTTCCTTCTTTCATCTCAGTAAGTTAAGTGAGCTCCAGGAACCAGAGAACCAGCAAAGAAAGGCATGTGCTAGTAACAGAAACGACTAGCAAAAGCAGCTTAATCTGTTCCTTTAAAAAACTAGCTTAAATTTTCCTCTATATTCAGGCCTCTACCAAACCTGGCCACCTCTTTAATGGCTCCAAAACATCCAGTATTGTGCTCACTTTATTTTTTTATGATTTATTTATTTACTTGAGAGGCAGAGTTCCAGAGAGGTCTTCCATGTGCTGGCTCACTCCCCAGAAGGCTGCAATGGCCAGAGCTGGGCCAATCCAAAGCCAGGAGCCACAAGCTTCTTCTGGATCTTCCACATGGGTACTGGGGCAGTAGTTCGAGTCCCAGCTGCTCCACTTGCCATCCAGCTCTCTCCTATGGCCTGGGAAAGCATCAGAAGATGGCCCGAGTACCTGGGCCCCTGTACTCATGTGGGAGAGATCTGGAAGAAGCTCCTGGCTCCTGGCTTCAGATCAGCCCAGCTCCAGCCATTGCTGCCATTTGGGGAGTGAACCAGCAGATGGAAGATCTCTCTGTCTATCCCTCTCTCTGTAATTCTGCCTTTCAAATAAATAAATTAAACAACAACAAAAAAAGACTTCTTACTGTATACCTTTTTATAAAGCTTAGCTTTCAAATCCTGAAATATTTTATGCATTAATAATGAAATCAAAGGGAAAATGGTGGAAAGGGCAAATCCTTAACACAGATAGAGACAGATGAATAAACTCGTACATCCAATTAACAACGTGATCATGCAGAGAAAATCATTCTCAAACAGTTACGAACCCAGCACTCAGTGTTTAGGACGTGGTCTCAGGACAAACACAGCTGCAAAGAAACCTTAAAATGTGTCAAGAAGATATTCATTTTCAGTGGAAATCTGAATATTTCCATTTTGAAATGATTTTATATATATGGTAGGAAGAGGTAAATAAATAATTACGGGGGAACGGCACTGTGGCACAGTGGATTAAGCCGCCGTCTGCAGTGCTGGCATCCCATATGGCACCAGTTCGATTCCTAGCTGTTCCACTTTCAATCCAGCTCCCTGCTAAAGCACCTGGAAAAATAACAGAGGATGACCCAAGTGCTTGGGCTCCTATCACCCACGTGGGAGACACAGATGAAGCTCCTGGCTCCTGGATTTGGCCTGGCCCAGCCCTGGCCATTGTGGCCATTTAGGGAGTGAACCAGCTGATGGAAGAGTCCTGTCTTTCCCTCTCTGTCTCTCCCTCTCTCTGTAACACTTTCAAATCAATGAATAAATCTTTAAAATTATTATTATTATTATGTTACTAGGAGCCAAGATTTTCGGTAAAAGAAAAGATACATAAATACAAAGTAAAAGAAAATATGCGAAAATCCTAAATATTAAATCAGAATGCTCAATGGGAATTCTTGATCTAAAAATTATCTTCTTTCCCTCTGTAAAGTTAGATTAACTCCATACAATTGTGATAGTAATGAGCAGGCGTAGGAGTTGGGTCTTGGTTTCTGACACCATTCCTCATCCAAGATCCCCAAAGAAACAGCTGATACCTGGGCTGGGAGCAGGGAAAAATCTGAGATAAGCTTGGACCCACCCTGTGCCAGAAAACAAGGACGTGCTCAGAGACTAACCAGGTTATCACAAAAGGGCAAGAGCCAGTTGGAATGGATTTCACTAGCTAGAAACTTCAAGCATCAAAGAGAAGAATGAAGATAACTGAATACAGCAAACTGTAAGTCTACAGTCAGACCCAGAACAGCCCATAGTGGCAACCTCCACTGGCAACAGGAGGTCTTTTTGCAGGAGAACAGTGGCTAAAAAATTTGGGGGGGGGGGGGGCAGCGCTGTCGCTCACTTGGTTAATCCTCCACCTGTGGCGCCGGCATCATGTATGGGCGCTGGGTTCTAGTCCCGGTTGCTCCTCTTCCAGTCCCGCTCTCTGCTTTGGCCCAGGAGGGTAGTGGAGGATGGCCCAAGTCCTTGGGCGCCTGCACCTGCATGGGAGACCAGGAAGAAGCACCTGGCTCCTGGCTTCAGATTGGCGTAGCTCCGGCTGTGGCAGCCATTTGGGTGAACCAACAGAAGGAAGACCTTTCTCTCTGTC